GCTTTTGGTGGGGGAAAAATGACCAAAATGGTGTAGAGCCAAGTGCAGGTGGGCGAAGTCACCCGTGATTTCCACTACTGGCTTGGGCGATCTGGTCCGAATCGGTAGAATACTACCTCTGGTCCAGTGGTTAAGGCACCAGGCTTGCAAGCAGGAGACTATGTGTCATAACCTGTCAAATCAGGGCAACATATTCTTCCTATTCAAATTCTGTTATCACTAACGGGAACTAAATTTTAAAAACAATCAGAAAACCCAAAAAAGCTGCAGAGATGAACAAGAGTACTAGAAATTTCATATGAGAAGAAACTAAGAGAAAAGATAGCAGGGAGATCAAGACCTATTAAATAATTCCACAATGCAGAATAGGTAACAATGTATTGTTATAGGAAAGCAAATTGTATGTGAAATTTAGGAGCAATCCATTAATCAAGGTAGCAAGTTTTCCTTCAGTCAATGAATTCGAAAAGAGGGTAGATAGATTTCTCTCACAGATATTATAGTTTGAATTCCTACAGTGAGAATGCACTATGTCAAAAAGATATTTACAGTGTCCAGTACAGTTTCAATAAACTGTCCATAGTAAATGATACTGAGCTATGTAAAACAGAGAAACTCAAATTCCAAAATTTCTATACGAATATACCACTTTCCATTTATTTTTAGATTAACAGAGTTGGAAGGGAACTTATAGGTCATCTAGTCCAATGCCCTACACTTGACAAATGGCAGCCCAACCTGTCCTTGAAAGCCTCCAGTGATGAAGCTCCCATAACTTCCAAATGCAAGCTGTTTCATTGGTTGATTGTTTTCACTGTCAGAAAATTTCTCCTTATTTCTAGGTTGAATCTCTTCTTTTTTAGTTTCCATCCATTATTCCGTGTCTGGCTTTCAGATGCCTTGGAAAATAGCTTGACCCCTTCCTCTCTGTGGCAGCCCCTCAAATATTGGAACACTACTATCATCTCAGACACAAGCACTAAGATCAATTTTTTACAAGCTTGATCAAGTTAACATCTATAGCGAAAATTCTCCTATGTCTGCAAAAAGATCTCCTCAAATACTCCTACAGGTCTACTCACTCTGAAAATTTATTCTATGTCTATGATAGAATAAATACAAATTTCATAGAATATTCAAATGTGCTTTTCATTGACTATTTTTGCCACTACTTTTTTTCAAGTTCCTGATGAACTGATAAACCCTAGTGCAGGGGTGTCAAACTCACCTCATCATGGCGGTGTCACGTGTCATATTGGGACTTTTTCCCCCTTCGTTAAACCATGCTTGGCCGTGGCCAGTGCGTGACTCATCCGGCCCATGAGCCAGGGGTTTGACAGCCCTGCCCTAGTGTGTTCATTTCAAACTTCTGTTTTCTTATTCAGGACTACATCTTTTAATCTGAACATATACCTATTTTGGGGTATGTTATATTAGCCAGATTCACTTGCTTGGGAATTATGGATAGATTTGTTCCTTTATGTACACATTATTCTACCAGACACTCTATCTTGGAATACTAGAAGCCCAAACAGGGAATTTTTGCCAATAATTAGACAAACATGAAATACTGGCAATAGGTTTAAATTCAAGGATCTCATGAGGCCAAACACTATATTTTGGCTGAACGAACATCAAAATATAGCTAGCTCTCAATTTACAACCATTCATTTAGTGACTGTTTAAAGTTACAACACTGAAAAAGGTGACATGACCATTTTTCACACTTATACTATTGTAGCATCTTCCCAGTCATGTGATCAAAATTTGGATGCTAGGCAACTATTTTATGACGGTTGCAAAATCCGTGGGTCATATGATAACTTTTTGCCATTTTGTGACAAGCTAAATCAATAGAGAAATCAGACTTAACAAACATATTACTAACTTAACAATTGCAGTGATTCACTTAACACATGTAGCAAGAAAAATAGTAAAATGGGGCAAAACTCACTTAACAACTGTCCTGCTTAGCAACAGAAATTTTGTACTCTACTGTGGTTATAGGTTGAGGACTATCAGTACTATATTGGTAGAATCAGCCTCATAATTCAACTGATTCGATCTAATTTCAAACTGGTTTACCACAATATCAGAAATTCTGATTCATATGGTTGTTACAAAAATTATAAATGTTAAAAAAATGAATTAAAAAGTCCCAAATGAACAAATAAATTTTATATAGCCTACTGAAAATAACCAAATCAATTCCATTTTAATATATGGTGGATACTACCTAGTCTTTATTCTTAATTTAGGATTTTAAAAGATCAAAATTATACTTTTTAATTGTCTAAAATTTTCATGTATGTACCTAAATTTACATTTACAGAATCAAAAAATAGTACTGAAACTTAGAAACTAATCACTTCGTAACTGTTTAAGAATTTTGGAATGTATTTCAAACTTTAGAATATTTAATTCAGAATTTTTTTTAGATATTAGCAATTATACAAATTGATCAGCGGGATAAAAGAATATTGTATTTTAATGTGAAAACAGTGGTTGGACTCATAATTTATGATATTCTATAATATGATCTAATTCGTTTGGGACTCCAATTGGATGAATAGGCAGTTGTAGCTTATTTAAGAAATCATAATACATAATTAACAACTAATCTGCTTTGAACATAAGATGATAAGGACATGCTACAAGATGTGCTGGTGAGAAAAACTACATAATCTTTCCAATCAAATACTGTACCTAAACATTTCAGGCTGTAATCCTGAAAATACTTACCCAGAAATAAGTACTGAAAAAGCATATATACACTTGCATTACCAAAAAAAAAACCAAAAAAAAAAACAAAACAACTTACAATAAAAGAGGCAAGAATGTGTTCTAGTGATGGGTTTCTGAATATTACGTATATTTTGTACTTATCTCAGTTATTACTCAATGTATATAATCTGTAATTGAATCTTATAGTAATAGATAAATATGATGAAACATCACTACTTAGTACAGTATGATTATCCAAAAGAAAATTTATGGGATACATGTATAAAACATAATGGTTGCTTCAAAAAATGTTGACTATCTCTCTGAAATAAAGTAAAAGTAAACGGACCATCCAAATATGGTTGATGGTAATGTATGGGATCAATACTTCTGCTAATCACCTCTAAACATTAAAATTGGTGCCAGATATATCACTGAATAAAAGTTCCTATATTGAGGATATCTGGTATGTTCCACAGCAAGGATTGTTCCGGACTATGTGGTAATCATGCTTGTTGTGGGTACAACTGTGTTTCCTCAATAGAACATGAAATCTGATATGCAATTTCAAAACACCCACATACAACTGGAATCTCCTATTGAACTATGGTTTCTAGAGCTATATACAGATGTTTAAGATTGTACATAATTTGCACGGTTGCTCAAGATGTTGCAAATGGAATGTCCACATAAAATCTTGAGCCATATTGAGATAGATATGAGGTTTCTATAACCCAACATGACTGAAATGACTGGCTTCATAGATCATAACTTGAAGGTAAAGTCTTACAAAAGCTTTGTTGATCTCCATTTTTCACATCTCCCCAAAACAGCTTACAAAAGCTTTCTCCAGCAACTAATGCCACAGAGCTTCAAATTCTATTAGCTTTAGAAATCAGCGAAAATTTACTTCTATCACTGTCTGTTAAGAGGGAAAGATATTGTTTTCTTTTTGAATATTATGCTAAATTCAAAGACTGAGCATAACTGTAAAGATAAGGCAGACATTCAAAATAGTTAAGGGTATTCCCCTGTCCTATGCTGCAGAAAATGTTAAAATGCCTCTCAAGAATCTACCTTCACCTGAACTTTCAGCAACTGAAAGATGAATTTAGCTTTACATCTGTGAACCTTTGAGAATTTTTCTATCAAATCTTCAAAATCAGCAATCAATATAATCTTCTTGCCTTGGAAGTTTTAGAATAATAATATCAATAATGTCATAAAATTCTCAAGTTACTGTGAGTAATTTGCTACAATAGAGTTGATTAAAAGATCTTTTTCCTCATAGAAAGTTTTCAGATGTGATGCATTGCATTTGAAGACTACATTTATTTGCAGATCTTAAATATGCCTTGTATCTTATTTCAACAATCATTTATTTTAAACATCAATAAAAACATTCCCAACAATAACCTGTTTAAAAATTGCGTGAAAAAGTAGCAAGAGTTTCAAAAACTTTTATATTTCTAATTAAACTTAGGAAATTGATAACCTTTACAAAATGGGACCCTAGATCCTAGAAGTACAGTAAAATGTAATAGTAAAAATATGCTATTTGTGTATCTTTAAGTATACAGATGTTCTGAAAATGTTGAATTCAGGAGGAATAAAAAATATTTTTTTAAAAAACTAGACACTTGCAGTAAGAATTACAATTTCCAATTATTGGTTTTCTTATGTTTAAAAGAACAAATTTGTCAAAAATAAGTTACATTCTGAATTATTATTAAAATGATGGCCAAAAAATCATTTTTAAAAATGAGTGACAATTCACCTGTTTTACACTTCACATATAAATATATAAATATATCTCACATCTTCAAACCCAGTGAAAAAGAGTTTGAAAGAGATTATGTTTCTTCTTCTCTATTTTAGAACTAGTTATTTCATGATCACTACATTATCTTGCCAATTATTAACCATGTGTTCTTCATAAATCAATCCCACATTTACCATAGTTTTTTGGGGGGGAACTTTCATAGTCTTGATACAAGTTGTAGTCTCTGCATATGTTATAAAAGAAGGCAGAATTCTCAGTTGTATTCTAAACAATGTATTCAGCTACATTTAGCCTTTTTATTGTCATTGTCAATGAATGGGGCCCTAGTCAAATTAAGCTGCCATTTTAGGTTAAAGACTGAGAGCCTCTGCTGTTCAGCAGTAAAACAAGCACACTTCAAGCAACAGATGTAGTATACTAACTGGAAAATTATGAATCATGGCTTCTACAAAAATAATTAACAACTCTGATTTTTAAAATTAATAATACTCACACATTACTGCAAACTAACTGGCTTTATAATTGGGATAAATCAGCTACCCATGCTGCTAGAGTCATAGTCACTATGATTTTTTTGTCTCCGTTACACAGGATGATCTGTGAGAAAAGAGAAATATTTCATTCAACTTTTATTCTTGTATTTATTGTGCATATTATGATATATAAAAATAGATATTCTTCAAGTAAAAAAGATGAGTTACTGCTCAAGAAATAAAATTAGGAACTCATTTCTTTTGCAGGTCAGGGGCAATTACTGGTTTGAGATTTCAACTTTCCAAACTGAAATATACAAGGACCAAGTAGTGGGGAAAATCACTTTTTTTAACCTAACCAAGCCTACTAAAAAAGCATACTGAACACCTCACCAAACAAAAACAAAGGCAAACTAGAAAGAGTAGACTGTTGCACCTAACATTCCCTTAATATTTTAAAGGAAACTCCCCCTGTCCTGCTACTTTTCTTTTGTCTATTGTCTCCTTAAAGAAACTACTTTCAAGCAAAGCGAGCAATATTCAAAAGTGCTTTGGGGAAACTCTCCAATTTACTGCCTACCCAGATACATCCCATAAGCCTGATGTCTCCCCAGGACTGCCCCATTCTCAGTTTAAGAGGGTGTCAAACGCTCCAGGAGAGAGTGCTCCTTATGCAATACCACCAAGGGGGAAAAAACGAATGCAGTCTAATGATGGCTGCTCCTTCTCCCCGAGACCCACTCACAACACTCTCCCCACCCCCCTCATCAACTCCCCCCGCCAACATCCACCCCTCCAGCGTCCGCTTCTCACTTCCACCAGCCCAGCGCCCCGCACCAACGCACCGATCCACCCGAGCCCAGCAGAAACCAAATCCCTGGCCAGCCCCGCGCCCTCCGCTGAATCAAACCTAAACAGACACACACTCCCTGACCGCCTGGCCTCAAACCACCTTTTCCGCTCACCCTCAAAATGGCCTTGGTTTCGGGAAGGGAGGGGGAAAACTATGGACACCGGAGAAAGCTTCTCGGCGACCCGCTTCTGACCAGGGAAGAAGAGACAGAAGCTCGCAGGCGAAAGGTGGAAATGGGGGGGGGGAGGGAGAGAAAGACACACACGGAGAGAGAGAAAGGGAAGCAGACTTGGTCCGCGGGGTTAAATCTCTATTATGTTGTTGTTGCTGCCGTCGCCAGTCCGCTTAGACAGCGTCTCTCTCTCTCTCCCTTCTTCTTTGCCTCTCTCCCTCTCCCGCCTCCCCCCTCAGTTTTCTTCTTGGGTTGTTAGGAAACAGTAGGGAACCCCTCCCCGCACCGTCCCCCGCGTGTGACTCCCGTTTCACTCCCACTACCAACCTCCCCGCTCCTCTTCAGGGAAGACAAATAACCCCGGCGCAACCTCGTGCCTCTCCCCCACCCACCCACCCAGCGACCAGCACCCCACCCCCGCGCCACCATCACCTCCATTTCCTTCGGCTCCCTCGCGCTCCCTCTCCTCTTTCTCTCCCTTCACTTCTCCCC